GAGTTTAAGACCATTCTGGGCAACACAGTGATACCTTGTCTCTACAAAAATAAAAATAAAAAATTAGCCATTCATAGTGGCGCATGCCTGTAGTCCCAGAAACTCAGGAGGGTTAGGCGGGAGGATTGCCTAAGGCCAGGAGGTCGAGACTGTAGTGAGCTGTGATCATGCCATAGCACTCCAGCTGACAGCATGAGCCCCAACTCAAAATTAAAAAAAAAAAAAAAAGAAGATATGTCTGAATCCAAAGACTTCTGAAGCTTTAGCATTTTAAATACATTGCATATTATGTAATATTCCAATGTCAAGAAACCCTCATCTGTATTTTCTAGGTGAAGTGCCCAAAAAGGTGTTTCATATCTTATGTGGAACATCTATCAAGTAAAAGAAAATGTATTTGAAGCAAAGTACATGCTGAAATAGTATAAGCAAGTGATACCACATAAGTTACAATACAAAACAACTCTGGAAGAACAGGACTTGCTTACAGGAAAGCAGTTCACATTGGTCAAATTTTCAGTCACATAAAGTTATTTCTTCTATTGTCAGAGAAGTTGTTCTACTGAGGGCAAATGCCTGTTCCTCCCCATTACTATCCCTTGTTTCCTGCCTAAAAACTGAAGATCACCATACTTAATGAGAAATATTACTGATTAAAAATATTGCACATGCAGCCTGTAATCCCAGCACTTTGGGAGGTTGCGGCAAATGGACTGCCTGAGCCCGTGGGTTCAAGACCAGCCTGGGCAACTTGGCAAGACCTCGTCTCTACAATAAATCAAAAATTAGTCAGGCGTGGTAGCATGTGCCTATAGTTCCAGATACTTGGAAGGCTGAGGCAGAAGGATCGTCAGAGCCCAGCAGGTTGATGCTGGGGTGGCTGTGAGTGTGCCACTGCACTCCAGCCTGGGCTAGAGTGAAACTCCAACTCAAAAAAATAAATAAATAAAGCAGAAATAATGTTTTCTGTAAAAAACATATTTTTACACATGAAATAGTCATGGAGGGGGGAGAATTTAAAACCACTGTACTAGAATAAAACTCTTACCAAGAAACTTTTAGGATTAGATTTGCAAACTCTCCAGATTAAAGCACATGCTCCTTAATACATTATATCTTACATTTCCCATGAGAACACTTTGATACTACTATTACCCAAACTAGCATTAAATAAGGTACATTCTGTATATAACATATTGATCAAAAACATCAGAACATTTATATAACAGAATATGAGAATCACAAAGAGTAACAATATTATAACTAATTATGTATTCATTTGTGCTATTAAGTTATAATGTACAGGGTAAAATGGAAGAAGAGCTTAACTGGACCAGTCATTCTAAATAAAGCCATTATAAATTCAGGACAAAATATTTTTTTTAAAAAATTGAACCAGAGAATGACCAAAAAGGCAAAGTGGGGGAAGAGTCTAATTTGGTTTGAATAGTCAGAGGACAGCCAGGCTCGGTGGCTCAGCCTGTAATCCTGTGCTTTGGGAGGCTGAGGTGAGTGGACTGCCTGAGCCCGTGGGTTCGAGACCCGCCTGGGCAACTTGGCGAGACCTCATCTCTACAGTAAAATCAAAAAATTAGCCAGGCGTGGTAGCGCGTGCCTGTAGTTCCAGCTACTTGGAAGGCTGAGGCGGAAGGATCGCCAGAGCACAGCAGGTCAAGGCTGCGGTGGCCGGGAGCGGCCACTGCACTCCAGTCTGGGCGACACAGTGAGACTCTAACTCAAAAAATAAATAAATAAATAAATAAATAAATAGTCAGGGGACAGAGTTTGAGGCCAGTAGAAAGAGAATATGAGGGATAAAATACTGGAAGGAAAGGAGCTTCAGAAAGGGCAAAAGAACAAAAAATCTATATTCACAATCAACCCAAATCCTTGGCTGACTTCTAAACTACATGTGCTTGGGGGCAACCCCAGAGACCCAAAGAAAAGCAGCAGCTGGAAAGTGAAAGAACACATGACAGCTGCTGACCTCAACAGAGGACACAGAGTTTAGGGTGTGAATCCAGCCAAGGTAATTGCTCATTAGGACAAAAATATTTCTTCAGAGGAATATAACAAAATCAAGAGCCTCTATAATATATCACTTATAACATACAATATCAAATAGAAAATCACTTGAAGCAGAATACACAGGAAAATGTGACCCATATTTTAAAAAAAGCAGTCAGTAGAAATTAAACCAGAGATAACTGAAAAGTTACACATAGATGCAGACTTTAATGCAGCTATTATAAATATAATCATAATTATACAAAAAATATATATATGATTGAATAAATAGAGAATCCCATCAGAGAAGCAGAAACTATACAAAAAAGAACCAAACAGGAATTCCAGAAATGAAAAGTACAATAACTGAAATAGAAAATTTGCTAGATAAGCTTAATGGCAAATTAGAGATGATAGAAAAAAGAATCAGTAAACTTGAAGATATATCAATAGAAATGATCTAACCTGAAGAACAGAACAAACTAAAAGAAAATAAACAGACCTAACAGATTACTGGGAGAGCATAATATATATATGTTATGCTATATATATAAGACACTCTCTTAGAAAACCTGGTTGAGGGGACCTGGTTTAAAGAGGGCCAAACAGATTCTTTTATCTGGAATCTGGAATTAATAGACACAGCAGCACAGTAATTGCTGGGCAGTGAAGGCTTAAGCAGAAGAGAATGAGGACACTGTCAGAAATTAGACAAGCCAAATACATGCAAAGTCATAGGTACAGAGAAACTACCAGTCCTTCCAGGGAAAGAGAGAATTGAGAAGAGATCATGTGTCCAGAAAAGGGAAGAAGAGATAGGGGCAGCCTGATCAGCTGTCTTCCATGAGACCTGATGATACATCCTATACTTGATTTGGAGAGCGACCCAGACTAACCTAACAAATTCACTTTAATTAAACTAGCATAAGTGAGTGAGTTTTTGTTACTTTCAATAAATAAAAGTCTGCCTAAATAAGACAATCATTGCGATATCTACCATGTCAATCAGCAGCACCAGAACAGATGTCACATCTTTGAATCTCCAGCATATAATATTATACATCTAGCAATATTTTTTATTTAATTAAATAAATTTGACACACTCTTATTGTGTTGGCCTTTTATCTTACACATGCCACCAACAGGGTTGAAAATCTATATTAACACATTCTTGACCTGCAAATTTTTCACTTTCCTAATATTGAGAGAAGTTGAAAATAAATTCTGAAGCTGGTTGCAATTTTCTATTGATAAGACAGAAAGAAAAATCAGAAAATTTGTTTTGAAATATCAGTCTTGTAAAGATCTGTTGTTTAAAATAAAAGAATTTTCCATTAAAAAGTCACAAGTGGAGACAAGCAGAAGAAAATATTTTGAATGTTATTATATTCCAGGATTGTGTAAATTATATTGGATGTGGTTTTGCATACTTGCTTTCTAGGTATATAATAGACTGCTTGTTATTATTATGTTTATTTAGAAATACTTTACATGTATCTTGGAAAAACAAAATGAAAAAAATGAAATTAAATATTCCTGTTTTGTGTAACATCGTAAAACAATGATCTTTGCAAAAAGGAACTCTACAGGGTTTGCATACAAATGAAGTAAGTGTTAGTATGTTTTCCATGAACTTTGCAGACTCTACAATGTTTCTGTAGATACTTTGTTGAACTTATTTAAAATATAATTTATTATGAGTTCAATTTGGTATAATCTGCTTGGATTTGATTGCATTTCTGCATTATTGGGAAAATGCAAAAACTGCAAAATTTGTAGGACTCTATTTCATGACATTATTTTTGAAAGGAAAGGCATCACAACTGACAGATGTGTTGTCCAATTATCATGTATTGTGGTTTTCTTCACTTGTCTCATCAAAATATTTAATGCTAGAAAATTTTTCCTCTTGGGACCCTGTAGTATTGCTCCATTTTTAAAATTTTTTTGGACATTTATATCTGTGGTGCATCTGATCATAATATCTGTTAGTTTCAGTTGCAATCACTTCTATAAAATTATCTCCAATAAATAGTCCGGCAACTTCACTTATACTTTGATGATCATTTGGAAATAGCTTGACACCTAGATTGCCAATAAACACTTCTAAGTTTCTTTTTGAATCATATTTTGTCTATTCAATGTCTGATTTGCTCTCACCAGTTCTAGATTATCTATTATCTATTTGTTCTCACTGTTATAGGTTATCTGCATTATTTTTCTTCATTTACATTGCATCATTACATCAACATCTGTCTCACTATCACTAAGTTCACTGGATTCACCTTTGACCTCGGAGATCTCATCAGAGTATATTTCTTCATTTTCCATAATTATGGTAAATTATTTTGAATGTTGAAGTATGAAAGCTCTAAAATATCAAAATACAAGTATACCACACTAATCGCAACAAATTAATGACCAACTTGCAATTTTTACCAACTACGTAAAACAGTAACAACATTGTGCAGTCGATATCGGATAATTGTCTCAATCAACTTTCTCCTTGCCTGACTATTCATTTTCAAACAAAATATAAAAACACATACATATGACAGCATTGCAGCATTCAGAAACAGAATTTGCAAAGACGTAAATTCACGTCAATGGCAACCAGGAACAGAATTTGGAATGACGTGAATTCATGTCAGAGGTTACGAATGAGTTTATGATATTGCTTATATAACAGAGTTTGTTAAAATTAAAGAAAATTAGGGTGGTACTTGATAAATGTCATAATATAAAAGCTTATGTTTTCTTTTTTTAATTTTTTAATTTTTTTTTAAAGATGTGGGGTACAATTCAGGGTTAGGTATACAAATGTTCATTATGCAGGTACCCTTGTTGATGAGGTGTGCCCTCCCTCCCCTGGCAGTTTCCCTCAACTGCCAATCCCATGCCCCCCAAAAGTTTATGTTTTAAATTAGGCTTCATATACATATCTAAAAACAATCTAGGGTAAGCTACACACTTATATAACCACTACTGTAACTCTATAGAGATAGTTTACGGTTTTGTTCAGAAAAACTTTCACATTCAGTCAGCATCAGCAGAAACAAAAACCTACCTCTACTCATGACTGGTGCTGAAAGGTTTTGATCACTTAAATTTTCTGCTAACATCCAAGCTGGAAGAATTCTTTTCCTCTGGGCAAGATTTGGCTGCTGCTTACTGTGTTCTCCACATTCACCTAGGACAGACTAAAATGGCACCTATAAATTACTAAAAATAATCATTAATCCTTAATGAATTTGTAAGATTATTTACTTTACAGAAAGCTACCATTAGAATATCCATCTGTAACTATGAACTCAGTGAGTCAAATTTCTTAAACAAAGAAATTCATTATCTCTATTAATTGAAGTGATGGACTAATGTGATGTTCTCTAGAGCTTAACTTAACACCAGCAAAAAAGCAGATCCACAATAGCGTTATTGTTATGATATGCCTAATTTCAGTTGTCTTTTTCCCCCCAAAGTAATTTGAAGAATATATTATACATGAATGAAATATTAAATTTCTCACCACACTACTCAAGTTAGTAGTCAGGGGCATGGTTATTTCTGTGCTTCTTTCCAGCTGTGAGGCACCAGTTGTCTCATCTGGTAAGTTAATCACAGGGGATTTTGGTGTTTCATTCAATATATCATCTTCATCAAGCATTTGACTGTTTCTATAAAGTAAAACAAAATTTGTTTTTTGGTTTTGTTTTGTTGTTTTTTTTTAGAGACAGGTCTTGCTCTGTCACCCACCCTGGAGTGCAGTAGCATGATCATAGCTCATTGAGGCCTCAAACTCCTGGACTCAAAGGATGCTCCCACTTCACTCTTTCAAGTAGCTAGGACTACAGGTGAGTGCCACCACACCTGGATAATTTTTAAAACAAAATTTTTATAGAGACCGGGTTTCATTATGTTGCCCAGGCTGGCTCAAACTCCTGGGCTCCAGTAATCCTCCTGCCTCAGTCTCCCAAAGTGCTGGTATTACAGACCTGAGCTATCACACCTGGTTTGAAAAACATTTTAACCTGAATAAAATTAAAACTTAAAAGATGACAAGCTTTTCTACTGTTGGTTTGATGTTTGGATTCCTTTCTTAAATTTCACAACTGGCTGGAGAAAAAAAATTATCATAACATGAGAGTCCTAACAATTGCCACAAAGTATATAGATTTTCTTTCCTATTTTTTTAATTTTTAAAATATTTTAACATATAGAAATATATAGAGAATACATGTATTCTATTTTATCTACCTATGAATAAGAATACTCATGTATCCACCGCTATAATGAAACATTTTCTCATATTTGCTCCAGATTAATTACAAATACTATCCAAGCCCCATCCATGCCCAGCCTCAACCTTATCCCTCTCCCTTCATTCCTTCCCCCAAAAGTAAACACGAGCCTGAATTTGTTGTTTATTATTCCCAAACATATCTTTATGCTTTTAATATTTGTATGTATGCATCCATTCTTGGATAGAAATAGTTATATATTTGTAACTTTTGCTAGTTTCTTTTTTCCCCTCAACATTATGATGTGGAGATATTCCATGTTTTAACCTGGAGCTCTCTCTAGTTCATTCTCTTTCATTATAGGACTACACCAAATTTACTCAGCCTTTTTCCAGGTATTTTCATATTCAGAATGAGTGCTATAGTAAGCATTCTCATACAGAAGAGGTTAGTCGTAAAAGCATCAATTCTGGAGATACCTTGGGTTTGGATCCTAACTCCATCCTATATTACCTGTGACCCTGGGCAAATCTCAAACTTTCTGTGCCCAGTTTCTTCAGTGTAACCTAGGAATATTAACAGTACCTAGTCCTCATAGAGATTGTGATGAATATTAAAAAGTTCATACATGTAAAGTTAGTTCAACAGTCAATAGTGTTTTATGTATTAGATACTACAAAATAGAGCTAACTCTAAAACATATGAAATCCCAACAATATCAAGAAATGTGGAAGCATGCTTCAATGCTTCCAATCTAAGACATTGTCCACATCCCTTTACTAGAGGACAGTGGCTTCCCCTTCTCTGAAAACCAGGCAGCTGCCTCATCTGGGTGGACATCTCTCACAATGACACTTGCCTCACTCAAGACCTGTCCCCACCGCCCCTCATAGCTTCTAGTTTAATAACCAGGATTACTCATCATTACCAGACTAGCGAAGTCCTGTCCTTGCTTCAGCTGGAAACCGAATACTTACTAAAGAACTACTACTGGCAGAAACCATAAGAATGTGCCTGTGATATTGTGATACAGTAAGAAATATATATTTTGGTCTTCATCCTTAATTTCTGCCTGGAGCCCCTAAACAGGCTAAGGGGGCAACTTTTGCTGTTCATAACAAGTCCCTTTCAACCTGAGTTTGCGCCAATGAGGTGACTTTTGGAGGAAGTATCTTTTGATATTCATAACAAGGCCCTTTCAACCACATCTGAGTTTAGTTAATGAGGTAACTTTTGGAAAGCCCCTAAAGAAGGGGGACTGGTTGCCAGGGGACTCAGTCGTATGCTTACAGGGTTGAAACTTCCAGCCCTATCACTCTCCACTTCCACGTAGGAGAGATGGACTAGAGATCAACTTAATCTCCAATGGCCAATGATTTGATTAGTCACAGCTATGTAATGAAACTTCCATAAAAACCCAAAAGGAAGGGGTTTGGCGAGCTTCCAGGTTGGAAAACAAGAATGGATCCTTGTGCTGTAAGGATGGCGTACCTCAAACTCCACAGAAACAGAATCTCCTTTGCTCTTGGCCTTTCCAGACCTCACTTTATGTATCTCTTCATCTGGTTGTTCACTTGTACCCTTTAAGCTATCCTTTGTAATAAACCAGTAATCTAGAAAGTAAACTGTTTTCCTGAGTTCTGTGAGCCATTTTAGTAATCAAGAAACACAGGTTTAAATAGCTTGAGAAAAGTACAGCATCATGAAAGTGGGTTATATTTTCCGTTTTTCCAATACAAAAAAAATTCAAAATTCACCAGTCCCACATCCTGATATTTTTAAGGTGTACTGGCCTTAAAGACACCAGTCTTTTACACTAAGGGAATAAGTTGATTGAATGGATATACAAGGGGACCCCAAAAAAACCCAGAATTATCTTTTGGAGGGAGGACCCCTTATAGTACACTCGTAATTGCTCCTCCATATCAAATAGTCAACCGTGTTTCTACCTGGAAGTTTTGAGAAGGCTGCATCACAATTTGCAGAAGAAACTTCCTGAGTTGTGGCAAACTGGTTCTTCCACCATACCAACGCACCAGGCCACACTGCGCTGAATGCTCAGTAGTTTTTAACCAAAAATGGCATGGCCCCCGTGCCCCACCCTCCCTACTCACCCAATCTCACCCTAATTTTTTGTTTGTTTCCCCAGATGAAAAAAGTCCTCGAAGGGAAAAGTTTTGCCAATGTGGAAAGGCGAAATAAAAAACAACAGAAGCACTAGAAGACATCAAAATAAATAAGTTCAAAAAACTGTTTTGAGCAGTGGAAAAGGTGTATTGCATCAAATGGAGAGTACTTTGAAGGTGACTGAAGTTAAACACGTAAGAATTTTTTATAAGAAAATTCCAGTTTTTTGGGGTTCCCTCTCATAAATAAAATTAAAATTAGCATACAGTACTTTAAGTCATTAGGCAAAGACTATACTTTGTTTTATAGAGTTGTATAACATTTTCCTAATTTTTGAAAATTCTACTATGGAAGTTTATTATAACAAAAAATAGTTATTCACATTTCTCATTTTAGCAGCTGGTTAAAAGATAGGAAGCTTCATAAATGTATGACAACAGAAAAAAAAGAGGAAAATTTGTCCTTTAAAGTGGTAAGCAATCATTACTGAATTTCATTTAACTAAAATAAAAACAACCTCCTTGGCTCAGCCTGTAAACCCACACCCTTGAGAGGCTGAGGTGAGTGGATTGCCTGAGCCCGCGAGTTCGAGACCCGCCTGGGTGGCGAGACCTCATCTCTACAATAAATCAAAAAATCAGCCGGGTGTGGTAGCGCATGCCTGTAATTCCAGCTACTCAGAAGGCTGAGGTGGAAGGATCCCCGAAGCCCAGCAGGCGAGGCTGCGGTGGCCAGGAGCGACCACTGCACTACAGTCTGGGCGACCGAGTGAGACTCCAACTCAAAAAAAAACCAAAAAACAAAAAACAAAAAAAACCAACCTCCTGACATTTCTTCTATTTACTCTTTTTTCTATCTTCCACTCTTTTATTATAATATATAGATAGATAGATGTAGACCATTTACTCTTAAATATTTTTAGATATAATTTATATACACTGAAATGAACACATCTGAAGTGTGCAATTTTATTAGTTTTGACAGTGCATACACCCATGTAATCTCCACCCTTGTCAAAACACAGAATATGTCCAGCACACAAAAAAGTTCTCTTGAGCTTCTTCCTGCTCAATCTCCTTGGAAACAACCATTGACTAAAGTTCCAAAAGTAGTTTGATTTGCTTATTAAAGAACTTAATATAAATGTAATCATACAGTAGGTACTGTTTTGTGACTTGCTTCTCTTTTTGATAGATTCCTCAGGATTTTCTAAATGCACAATCATGTCACTGGAAAATAAAGTTTTACTTCTTCCTTTAATCTGATGTATTTTATCTTTGTCTTATTCTCAATCTTAGGGGGAGAACTTTCAATATTTCACTAATAAGTTTTTTATATGAAAAAAGTTCTCCTTTTCCTAGTTTTCTCAAAAACTTTGTAAAATCATGAACAGGTATTGAGTTTTGTCAAAATTATTTTTGAGCATCTATTGAAATGATAGCTTTTTATTCTATTATGGTGAAATCTTTAATTGCTTTTCACAAGATAAACCAAATCTGCATTCCATGGACAAGTCCCACTTACAGCATATTATTGTTTTTATATATCACTGGATTTGATTTGTAAATATTTTGTTATGAAGAATACTTGTCTGTAGTTCTGTTACATTTTCTTGTAAAGTCTTGTCTGACTTTAGTATCAGGATTACAGAAACTTTATAAAATGAGTTAAAAAGTATATTCTATTTTGGAAGGAAAAAGTGTAATACTAGCATTATTTTTTCCAGGTAGAATTCACTAGTGAAGTTCCTTGTGGGAAATTCTGAAAGGATGAATTCAATTTTTTAATGAATGTAAGATTTCTATTTTTTCCTGCATCAGTTTTAGTAAGTTGTGTTTCTTCAAAAACTGTATCTATTCATTTCAAGTGTCAAATTTATTGGCATAAAGTTTTAAATAATATTTCTTCATTAATCTTTTAAGGTCTGTAGTATCAATAATAAGATCCCCTCTTCCATTGCTGACATTGATAATATGTTTTCTCACTTTTTTTTCCTTCATAAGCCTTACTAGGGTTTTATTAATCTTTTCAAAGAACCAACTTATGGTTTTACTGATTTTCTTTTTGTCTATTTTCTAGTTCATTGACTTCCAGCCTCTTTAAAATTTCAATTTTTTTCTATTTATTTGGGGATTAATTTGTTCCTTTTTTTGGTCTATCTTCTTAAAGAAGAACTATAGATCACTGGTTTTATATCTTTCTGCACTTCTAATATAGGCATTCAACTATAAATTTTCCTCTAAGGAATAATTTAGCTGTATGCCACAAATTTTTATGTTGTTGTCAGTATCATTCTGTTCAAAATGCTTTCTTATTACCCTCATGACTTCTATTTTACCTGGGGGCTATTTAGAAGTGTGTTATTTAATTTCAAACTATTTGGAGATTTTTATATTTTATTGTTACTGACTTCTTATTTAATACCATTGCAATCAGAAAACATACTCTGTATAATTATGTCCATCTACTTCTACAGTGTATTCATTCTATAATTTAAAAGCTGAAAAAAATATAAATAATCTTCTAATGACTGACAAAAAACTAGTGTATGAATTTTAACTTTCTAGATATCCGTATGTTTATTCTAATACATTGTTTATTCTGTTTCCCTATTCTACATTTTCTGCTATTTTTATAAGAAAGAGGAGTTATAGTAATGTAGTCTAATACCTCAATAAAGTTTAAAAAGAAAAAAAAATGAGGAAAAGGTAGTCAACTTCAAATTAAGTACCTTGGTTACTGTTAGATGGAAAACACATTCCAAATAAAATGGTGAAGGACATCACAGATAGGAGCAATCACTACTGAGCCATAAGTTTTCTAGAAATACACACACACACACACACACACACACACACACACACACACACACCACATACCTATTCCACCTCCAATTCAGTTTAATCCTCAAATGATTTCTACTGAAGCCATTTGTGATGGTTGAATAATTAAGTAACAAATATCATTACTTACCTTAAGGTACATTCCATTTCCACTTCAGAATGTGTAGAAAAAACACGAAAAATGTATTTGTCAAGTAACAAAGAAAAACTATCTCCAGGATTCAACCAGCACCATAGATTTGTCTTCATTGGTAAGAGCTGGCTTCTCTCAGAAGACTGATAAAAACATGGATTTGTGTGTATCTAACAAATAAAAAAGAACACAATACAGTAATGTAACTCAAAACTATGACAAAAAAAAAACTATATACAAACTGATCCAGAATTTTGGTATCAAAACAATTTAAGTATAAACTTAGATCTAAAACTTTAATAAACCTAGTACTTACAAGTACCATAATTATTGTTTATACATATATCTTTAAAAAGTTGTAATACACTTCCATTTCTCCAAGAACTAAAGAAAAGAAGAAAAGTTATCAATTAACTGGTTAAAAGATTCTTCTGTTTTGCTTAATAGAGACAACTGAACATTGGCAAGAGAAACATGAAAAATAATGCTCAGTATGAAATATGATGTCACCCAACTTTTTATCCAAAGTTACTAATCTCCTGAAAGTGGCCTGCTTCTTTACCAATTATTTCTCTTAATAATTTCTTACTACAATTAAAAGATGAAAAACTAGCCAGGCTCGGTGGCTCAGCCTGTAATCACGCACCTTGGGAGGCTGAGGTGAGTGAATTGCCTGAGCCTGTGGGTTCGAGACCCACCTGGACAACTTGGTGAGACCTCATCTCTACAACAAATCAAAAAATTAGCCGGGTGTGGTAGCGTGTGCCTGTAGTTCCAGCTACTTGGAAGGCTGAGGCAGAAGGATCACTGGAGCCCAGCAGGTCGAGGCTGCGGTGGCCGGGAATGGCCACTGCACTCTAGTCTGGGCAACAGAGTGAGACTCCAACTCAAAAAAAAAAAAAAAAAAGATGAAAAACTATGGTGCTATGGTTTGAATGTGCTCCCCTACAGTCCATGTATTGGAAACTTAATACACTATGCAACAGCGTTAAGAGGTGGGACCTTTAAGAGGTGATTAGGTCATAATTAATCTGCCCTCATGAATGGATTAATGTCATTATCACAAGAGTGGGTTCATTATCTTAAGAGTGGGTTAGTTATCTCAAGAGTGAATTTATTATAAATGCAAATCTGGCCCTCTCTTGCTGACTCTCTTGCATGTTTTCGTCACTATGTAATGCCTTCTACTGTGTTATGATGCTGCAAGAAGGCCCTCACCAGATGCAGTCCCTCAGTCTTAGACTTCTCAGCTTCCAGAACTGTAAGCCAAATAAATGTTTGTTCATTACAAATTACTCAGTCTCAAGTAATCTGTTACAGAAGCACAAAGTGGACTAAGATATATGGGAAGGAAGATTCTAATCAAATCTCTCAAGCAAACAACATGGTTTTCTTTCTAGTTCCTCTAATTTTGTTTCAGTGAAACTCCTATCCACCCTGAAGATCATCATCCATATTCAAATCACAATTAGTAAATATATCACAAAGTCAAAATTATTATAATTTCCACTATTTTAAATTGTTTGCCACTGACTGCATGTTGGCAGAGTTGCCTTCAAAAAAATAAGACCTATTATAAGGCACCTTGAAAACTCTAACTAGAATCAAGCTAAAATTGGTCATTTTCATAGGCTAAATAGCCTTTCTGTCATCAATATCACAGGGTTTTTTAAATAAATAAGCTCTAGGGTATGACAAAACAATTGACATTAACGCAGATCTTTGATTTTTTTAAACCAAATCTTTTACAGGGCCAGAGTCAGAGAAAGAAGTGAAGGCAGCAAGGAGAGGGGGAGCCAAAAAGAATTTTCTATAGAGCAACTCTCCCACCACCCTTTCCTCTATTCCATTTGTTTACATGAGATTTTTTCTGGAGACAACAGCAATCTCTCCAATACAACATAGGAAATATCATCCCAGAATTGGATATATGCTGAACAACAACAACAAAAAGATATCATTGAAGCTAGTGAATATATTCTACCTAGTTCTGACAATTTGACTTCATATGGGGCTGGCCATAAGTCATTCCTATGTATATCTGCTATTTGAAGCCTTTCTATCCTTTAAATGTATGTTATGAAATATGTCATCTTCACAGTAGCAGTTTCAATCTAACAAAACAAAGAAGTAAAATAAAACTTAGAGATAAAGGATAGAGGTAGAAAATGTCTTTTTTTTTTTTGACTTGGAGTCTCACTCTGCCACCCAGACTGGAGTGCAGTGGCCGCTCCCAGCCACCGCAGCCTCGACTTGCTAGACTCCGGCAATCCTTCTGCCTCAGCCT